TGATACAGAAAGGATCATCAGTGGATGCAAAATGACTGGGGAAGTGCTGTTGGGCTACAAGATATTCCCAAGTCTGAAAGTATAACTTTCATATGAAAACACACCTGTACACTGAGGATAACTGCCATCAGCACCTTCAGTAAGTGATCAACCTTAACATTACTAGTAATAGGGAAATAATCATAGAAGTTCACATTGTGAGATATTCTACACAAATCTAGCCTATACACTTCAAAAGAGTAAACCTAATAAAGAAAGAAAAAAGGGGAAGAAGGCTGAAAAGATGCTTCTGGAAAAAGTCAAGAAATACCTATTTCCAGCTATGAATGGAAAGCCTGTATCAATCAGACTAACTCCCTTATAAGGAAAACTAGAAAAGCTGGGCCCTACATTTTCCAAACCTTTACTCTATGCACAATTTTCTGATTCCAAAGTAAGCTCAGGGCTAAGAGGCCAAGCAAAAAGCAGCAGTTCAGAACTTGTGGCAGCCAAATGTGGCTAGGGATACAAAAACTGATGTCCAGAACTTGCCAAGGAGTGGGGGGCTAGTAAACATCCTAGCCTACCAGGTTAAATTCCTGTAGGATTATGCTCTAGAAGAAAGTGCAAACTGCACAAAGACCAGCCTTTACAAAGACTGAAACCCAGCCCTGAATCATCTCATCTCAATCCCTGATTGAATCAAATTCATCTGCCCATAGTATAACTGCTGCCAAGAGAAAATTATATCATCTGTGAAGGAAGAGAACATCATCCACAATCTCCACAATTTTCCATTTGCCATATGCAGTACTTGATCAAAAATGACTAGGCTTGCCAGGGACAGAATAAAATCACTAAAAGAAAAAAAAGAAAAAAGCCACCAAAAACAGACCAGAGATGATCCAGATTATTAGGGCTATCAGACAAGAACTTTAAAAATGACTGTGATTAATATATTCAAGAAAACCATGGCATTATAGAAAATTTCATCAGGCAACAGGAATCTGTAAAAATAATCTAATGGAAATTTCTAAATTTTAGAAATTTAGAAATTTTATATACCCATAAAAATTTTGTTTAAAAGCCTCCAAAATAAATATATAAATAAATATGCAAAGTGCTCTGGGCCATAGATAAAGGAACTCCTAAACGGCTGCGGGAACACATTCCCTTCAAAGAAGCAACAATAAAACTGACAGCTAACTTTCCACCAAAGAACAGATTCCAATTACGAACCTACAATTCTATGCCTCATGATAATAGTCTTCAAAAGAGGAAGCCACACAATTTTTAGATTAAAAAAAAACCCGAGAGAAAGCATCACTAATTGTACTAAATTAAATAATAAAGGAAATTCTTGGCCACACAGTGGCTCATGCCTGTAATCCTAGCACTCTGGGAGGCC